ACACACACACACACACACACATCGAAAGCGACCCACTTGCGCTCGTGTTTTGCACTTAGTTTGACAGTCTAAAAGGAAGAGTTTTGAAGTGTTAGCATTTCTATTTTTGTCAGGACGTCTTTGATGAATATCCCGTGTGTGTTTAATTTTATGTTCTGTGTGCTTTGGGATCTTGTCTGACAATCGGAAAACCAGATGCAGCAACGAAAGGGCAACGTATATGAGACGTGGACAGAGGTTATGCTGGGACCTGTAGCTCGTTTAAAGGAAGATATGTAAAAAAATTAGCAATGCTTGTTTGTATACCTGCAGACGATCATGCACGTGAATCTGTGGCAGCACCAAATTTTTCTTTCTAGATTTCGACAAAATGTGGAGGATGATTTCTGTCGGTTTCCAAAATTAAACTGAGCATGAATCAAGCAGAGTGTACCTTATTATGTGAAGTTAACGTTTAAACAATAAGTAGGAACAGCGACAAAGCAGGACTACAGTTTATTTTGATCAACGTATTTCACCGCAAGAATAAATTGCTGTTAAACACATTGTGGTTGTCAGGCAGCTGCGTTCCTTTGTGTCATCGTTGTACCAGTGTTTGGACGGGCCTTTTACCTGAAAAGTTTGGGAACCCCTTTATGAGCACTTCTGTATGTGTAATGCTACAGAGATGGAGTTTCACTGAGCTGAAGAACCACTAACATCCACATATTTGTGACTCATAGTTTACCTAAGCACCGGAAGAGCAGAGTAAATCCAGGCTGAAGTGCTTTTTTTTTTTTGTTTCAATAACAGAAGCAGTAATGGTATTAAATTATAAGAATGGTCTAGTGACGGCAATTTCTATTGTTATGGACTAAAAATGGATATTACTGACTACGCGGCTCTAACAGAATGTGACTGGGCGAGCAGGAAAACAAAAACATAATCCAATAATAAAAGCATCGGAGTCAAATTCAGTATCTTTCCTGTTAAAATCGTTAGCGTTTGATTACACGTTTTACCTTTTATCACCTTTATGTGTCTTCTCCTATAAGCCCGGCTCACAAAAACAAGCATTCCTACGCAGTTAAACAGTTTTCTGCATTTGAAGAAAACGTATTTTCTCCTGATTACATCTGTTTGTGATGTAATCAACTTATCCCTGCCGTATATTCCGTTGCGCTGCTGCACCTATTCAGCCAATCAGTCCTATATTACATCGGATGTGTCACCACGGCAACCCGAGGAAATGTAGAAACTTTAAAAAAGTGTTGTGGAAGGGTTGTATTTTACCCCAAACTGTGATGTTTTCCTAACCAAGTGGTTTTAGTGCCGAAGCGTCACCTTTAAGGGAGAAAATGCTCCTTTCAAAACGTAAACGAGAATGCAGTCCGGTCCTATAGGGATGGGAGTTTTGTTAGATGGGCTGCTTCTATTGACTGCTGAGCAGCTGGGGGCTCAGCCTCTGCTTCGGGGAACATCAGTGGTAGTTACAAACAGAAAGCAGAGTGCCATTCATTTACTTTACCCATCCATTATTTCACAGTCAGACTGGGAATTCTGACTGGTGACCTTCTAGCTGCAGGCCACACTCACTTGCCACTGACTGTTTGAAGAATGTCACTGAGGATTGATTGGCTTTCAGTGCATGTGTGTGTGTGTGTGTGTGTGTGTTTGCTTCTGTGCAGAGTTTGCCCACTCCTTACCTGTGGAGCACTCAGTGAAAGCTTCTCCTTTTAAACTGCAATCAAATGGCCAGAAATAAAGCGTCAACACTGCCTCCCCGCCGCAAGCGCTTGGCAACGGAACGGGGTGTTAAAGCCCTGCGATGCTGCCGCGCATGTGCTAATATGCATTAATGTAGGAGTGTGCATGTTTGTTTATGTACAATAATGATAGCAGCTCCTGGAAGACACTGTGATTGTATTTAGTTTGCAAGTCAAGCTCCTGTTTAAGGCTTGTTTTCAGACAAATCTATATATGTACAGTCATGACTCAATAATCCGACCCTTAACAATCCTAAACCTTGCTATCCGACAGGTTTTTAGGAAAAACAAACGGAACCCATAAAAAATAGCCTTAACATACCGACAGCCTTGGATTCTGACTCCTTGTTATCTGACTGAACAATCCCATAGATTGGCTACGTTCACACTGCAGGACTTGATGCTCAATTCAGATTTCTTTGTGAAATCCGATTTTCTTGCAAGTTCGTTCACATTTCCAATTAAATGTGACTTGTATGTGATCTGCTGTGTGAACTTCATACGACTCAAAAGTGTCCCGCATGCACAGAAGAGGACATGACGACGTCACACGCAGCGAGCGTGCTCAGTGTTTATGGAAGTAAACACGGATGGTAACGGTGGAGCGTATCTGCCACTCCCCCACCACCACCGATGGTGGAAACAGAAGTGTGAGCGCTAACTAAACTGGCATCAGCAGCCAAGTACTGCCTGTGTGTTCCGTCCACTTCCACCCCGTCGGAGCGCTGCCCCTGGAAGTGGCCAGAACATGCACAAGCGCACCGGTCAATTAGGCTGAAATCCAGCGATGCGTAGTGTTCTAACAATACACTAGTTATTATAACAACTATAAACAATAAATATTAAAAACAAGCCTTCCAGCATCAAGCCCTCCTTGTGTCTCGACCTCCGTCTTGACAATCCGACATAAAAGAAGGTTTTACATTTAGTGTCAGATTATCAAGTCATGACTGTATAACTTGTTGTCTGTCCTTAAACATTTTGTTTAGGGTGCTGCTATAGCTCACCTGGTTGCACTGGCGTCCCATCTATAGGGGTTATAATCCCCAACGCGGAGGTCATAATCCCGCTCATGGCCCTATTCTGCAGGTCCTTCCACCATTCCTCTCACTATTTTCCAATCGAATGAAGGCAAAAATGCCAAAAAATTATAATAATAATTTTGTTTAGTAATGCTGCTTCCCCTGTGAATGATGTTTTACTCAACTGTTGCTCTGTATCGGTATCAAACAGGCAGCCCTTCAAGAATTTATTTTAGCAATACAGTGTATTTGTAAACTATATATATATATATATAAAAAACATGAAGCACTTGTCAAAACATCGTTAGACTGAGCTTCAGGGGAAACAGAATACATTCTTGTATCAACAGTTGCTGTGAGTAGAAGGAAAAGAAAGACACTGTTGGTCTGTCACATATTCCGATTAGAAAACAGCTTTACGTTGTGGTCTTTATGAGCTTTAATGCAGGTGGATCTGAAGCAAAGAAGTTCAAATGAATGTAATTACCCAATAAAAATAAAAACATAATTGGACTAACTTTATAGAGAATTGCAGAAGCAACAACAGTAAAACGAATCTTGTTTCTTTCGCTCTTTGTTTTATTTTCTTAAATTGTAACAACAAAATGAGAACTCAACAGTAGTGATATAG